TTATCATAATCCAGTCGCAAATTTCATGTGCATACAAAATAAAATAAGTAAATCTTCAAGAATGTAATAACACTTTTAAGTGGTTTTTATATGTTTCAATTTGTAGTTGATAGCACATGCACATAGATATTTTAATGATTGTGATTGATTAATTAAAACCATCAGTGGTGTATTACATCTTACACATCTGAAACAATCATGTTTCATAATCACGAAAAAAATCATTAAACAAATTGCTATGCTTCTTTAACCCAGTCATCTTCATTATATAATGTTTGTATATATATATATATATATATGAATTGTGTTTTCCAAGTAGTGAAGATTGGGTTCCAAACCCAAGCAGGAAGTTCTCAGTTTCCATGTGAAGTTCAGGCTCAATCCAATTCTAACCAGAAGTCATGATACAGGGTGGAAGTAGTTGTGCCCTGAAGGGCAACAGGACACGGATTAGCTGGCAAGGAGCTTCATCATGGTTGACCCTTTGGACCCCTGTACAGTGGCACCTGAGCTGGCAGCTCTCCAGCCAAATCCATGAGCTCTCTTGTGGCTCCCTCACCATTAGCCAAACAACTGGCTCACATTTCTCCATGGCTTCAAAACAATAACAAAATAACAAACAAATCAAATGCAAACCTCTTGTCCCTTACCAACTGGTCTGCATATTCATCCTCAACAAACCACTCACAAAGCTCATGTCCTTTCTTTTGCATTGCAATTGCAAACAATTGTTGAAATCTAATCCATCATTCAGAAAAAAAGTAAAAAAGAAAAACAAATGGAAACTAAAACCGATCTAGGTCACTGTTCTGGCTGTTGCTTGTTAGATAGAAAATGGAAGAAATTGCAGCCATAACTGTATGGCAAACAAAGTGCTAGGGTGAATAAGAATTGGGGTGGCTGCAGGCAGCTATCTTGCACAAGTTCACTGTGATGAGCAAGTGGGCACAGTTGCCAATTAGTGGTAGAGAGTTTGGGTCTAATTCCAAGAGTTGCCTTCTTTGGACAATTAAATTCTCCAGACAGTGCTAAAGTGACCCCTGAGAGGATTACCATTTTACTCACAGATCAACATTTTTTGATACATTGGATATTTTTGCAACAGTATGCTTTGAACATGTCAAATCAAACACTGTCCAAAGCCATTGTTGCACCTATTGAAGACAAACTCAAATTAATGCACACCCATTTATTATTCTCCTCATTAGCTATTTTTATTTATTTAAAATGTATTTCTGGGACAAAGACAATGAGGGTTATCTTACAATGGAGACTAACTCCATTCCTACATCATGTATGGGCACTCATCACCCATGCATTATCTAATTCTTGATACACTATGTACCAAGCTCCAGCAATTTTCTTTTTTCTTCTCTTTTTCTGACGCATGAACTGATGTATACACTAACTAATCATCATTCTTGTGCTGGAGGTGGACTTGAATTTAAAAGAAATAGAATGGACTGTTGTCAGCACTCTTGGTAAAGAAGGGTGGTGTCAATGGACCTACCCAATCAACACAATCCACAGGAGGGCCTCTCTCTCACTTGACTAGTCTCCCTGTTGGAAATTCTCTACCTTATTTGTCAAAACAGCTGTTGTCAAAACTTACCATCACTACTTACAATCACCAGGAGGAGCAGCAGCAGCAGCATGAGGACTTTCTGGGAGCCGTTTTTTTGGATATGCCAGCTACATGCTAAAACAACCCCCTGTTGAGAGAAATAGATGTACACACCCAAACACACATATACCCATATATACATGAAAGGGAGTAAATGCTTGGAGAGATGAAGAGTCCTGGATATTTGTCCTTTACCACGGAGCCCAGTAAGTAGGAAGTAGATAAGTCACAGAATTATGGTAGAACCCACGGTTCTGCCCCAAGTCCATTATCAATTGGACCCTGACCAGTGGACAAGTCAGGGTCTGCAGTGAACAAACTTACACAGAGCAGATTTGAGAGGGAAAGTAGGCTATTTCAGCTCAAGAGGTTCATCATGACATGGGTGACATTAATTAATATGCAATCAAAATAACAATTTGAATAGGAACAAGTTTTCACTGCGGCTTTTTTATGGGAACAATATGGAGCTAAACCCCCAAGCTATCTAAACATCAACTCTTTGATGATTTGCCATCAACATTTGTAGATTTAATTCATACAGTAAGGTACACTGTGGGGTGTCGGTGACGAGGCAGACAAGACTTGAAACCCCCTGTAGCTGTGTTCCAAGTGCCAGTCAGGACTCTGGTGCTCTTTTCACACTGCAACTCACCTACCCCATACAACTGCCTTAACTGTGAGGGAGCTAATGGCTCTCAGCAATAGAATATGAAGGGAACAGCTCGGCAAGCACACCCTGTAAAAACTCCATTGTGAGAGAAAAATTAGCATTGTTTGATGCTTGTAAGTGTCTTAAATAGTCAGCATACTTTCAGTGCTGTGATGCTCTCTTTTAGGACAGAGAATCACTCTTACAATAGGAAAGCCCTTGAACTTTAAATTATATAAGAGAAATATGGTGGCATCTGTCCCCACACAAGCTTCAATTGATGGTGGTAGTCATGGGATGTGCAGAGTTGGACAGATATAAGGAGATGTTATATGGGGAGATTAATTGATTGAAATATCAACATCTATCTCCAAATTGCTTGGACAGTTCTCTTTCATGTACTGGAATAGTGCTCACTGGTCACAACTCATGCTTCCTTACTTAAAAAGCATAAAAGCATACATAACAACACACTTTGCTCATGTAATTGATTCAGCAATAATTGAAACCATCATATACTAAAATTGTGATGTGAATTGTCTTGGTGATAACTATGTTTACCTTCATCATGCTATAATCCTCAATCAATGTTTATTTTACTTAACCTTGTCAGAGAGAGTGTGCACATTCTCTTTACTCTTTTATTTTCTTTTAAAAGAAAGTAGGTTTTTATGCAAGTGTGCAAATAAGTGCAATTTAATTAAAAGAACAATGCAAATTCACTATTTTTATTTATTTATTTATTTTTGACAGAATCAGCCATAGAAGAACAGGCTGTAACAAGTTGAATTCATAAGTAAGAGCTCTGGTGCAATTAATCAAGTAACTTCAGAGTTTTACTGTCTCCTGAACCATTTGAATGTGTTGTGGCTATGAATCAAGTAATTGATGATCAATGGGAAAATTGTTTCACAGGATACAGTAGGATGACAGACTTTACCACTGTGTATAAATACTTAATTAATTGTAAAGTATTTGTTCAGGTAACGTGTATGTATGACTGAAGTTTGAAAACATGTTTGAGAGCAAGTTTTTGATTTTGGTTTGGCATGATTGTTTGGTGGTGGTTGGTTGTTGTGGGAAGATTATGTTATTTACATACATTGCAAGTCTGATTGAAATACTTCTGCAGTGTGTCATTGATATTCACTTTGTAATCACTGTAAATGTTACATATTGTTTATTATTATTATTATTATTATTATCACTTTTTTGTCTTCTTTTATAAAGAAATTAAAACACACTTTACACAGGGAATTCACATACTGGATCATATTTACCTTAAAATCTTTCACCCTGTTTGCTTTATATTCTGCATGAATTTGTCTTTTAATCAAAGAAACCAAATGTAATAGTTTCCAAAAAAAATAAAAATAAAAATAAAAATAAAAATCATCAGATTCACAGTCAGGGTGACAAAGGAAGTAAGAAAAACTTGAGATAAAAAAACGTTTCTTTGTTTATGACACCCTGGCTCTAAACATCTTTTGACAGTCAATTTGAAGCAACAGAGGTCATGTGCAAGGGATGTTCACATGACAAGCCAAAACGTTGAATATTATACATATATACATTAACAACAGGAACAGTCAATATTTCCCATATTGTTAAGCAACAAGAAATATGGAATAAACATATTCATCTTTGAACTGGAGAAAAAAAAACCTGACTTGCATGTGGTATCCAACATAGTGACTTCATTATAACTTGGTTAGCTTCTGGTCAGACTAATGCTGATTGCAATCAATTACATCCAGGCAAGTCCAACTGGAGAGAGAACACAGTGGGAAAATAATCATTCAGGTTTAGGTACAAAGTCCAAGCTGTGTTGCCAGTCTCGTCATAAGTACAAATGAGTTCAATCAACAACAATTTTCTCAGGGTCATAGGAGCCATATAGACACCACGTCCACATAAAAACAGCATGTGGTGTGATCAACTTATTAATAAATAATTACCCTGTGACACCTGTGCAGGAACTACTTTCCAGGATGGGTGAATCCTCATAAAAGAAAACCTTAATCACCACTTCACAGGACTCTCCTCCACCACAATTAGCCAAGTCCAACCCTAATCAAGCACCCACCCATTAAGACAGCAACATTGTGGCTGATTTGCAAGTAGGATTGATGCTAAGCACAAACAACACCAAGTATCCCATGTAGTGCTCCCCATCCACCAGCCATCCAAATGACAAACAGCCCCTACCCCTACATTTGGCTATGTTTATAATTAAAAAATCAAATTTCTCCACATTATTTTGTTTAGGTATTGGGTCAAGTAATATATTGTAGGTCTTCTTTTTCATGTGCCTCAGAATCAACTTGCACAGCAATAGCAACTTTGTAGAATTGGGTACACAGTGAGTAGATCCCTGACCTCAATAACACAACTCCACTCGACTAAACTTGACACCCACATCACAGCTGGCAAAAGTGTCAAACCCCATAATACTTGCTTATTATACTAGGACCTTTTTAACTTGAAGTGGGTCAAAACTCTCCACCTAGTAACAAGGAATGGAGCAAAATTATGCATGAGGGAGGTCCGCACTGGCAGAGAACCAACAGGAACCCTCTCCTGGAAATGCGAAAACTCCATTATTATGGTCATCTGAGTGAGAGTCATCCACGCTACAGCAACGGAGATAGCTGCTATTCATCCCCCCCCCCCCCACAAGCTGCCGTGTTCTCCATCGTCAGCAGTCTTTTAAGCTTCTGATCATCTCCATTGCAACCGCGTCTCCTCTCGCCATCTTTCGCCAGCTTGGGAGTATATAGTCAGGCTTGCTTGTTACTTCTCTCTCCCTCTCTCTTCTCGAAGCTGCCTTCATCTCCTCAAGACCCGGACATCAAAATCTCCCACAGCCTGCGTTGTCACTGGATGGTACCCCAGGCGGGTGATCCGTTGCGTAGTAGGCGATTACGCGAAAGATTGCTTCAGTAGTGGTAGTCGGCAGGGGTTGTTCAGATATCGCGCGGGGATTTTGACTGATTGATCATGCGTTGAGTGAAGTTTGAAGAAGGAGATTGATTGTTGTGAATGAGGAAGCGACACAAGCGTCATCGTAGCAAGAGACAGTCGTAGTGGGATTTTTTTTCTTCTTCTTCTATTGACTTCAATTCTCAGGTGTGGAAGAGGAGGCGTATGATGGTGTAGGTTTGAGTTGGAGTTGCGTTTTCTGAGGTGCAGTTTGTGGATTTTGCGGATTGAAGCTGCGACTGTCAGGTTGTGGAGCCGAAGAACCTTGGCGTCCATGTTCTTGCCACTGGATTGCATTTGCAGGTACGAAGCTTTGCATTGTATTTGAGAACGGGAGTTTGGTGCGCGTGAAGACTTCGCGATACTTTGGATCAATTTGATGTGCCATTCTGTTTTGCAGTGTCGTGCAGACGTGGACCCCGAGTAGAACTAGACATGCTTTTGACCTGAAGAGTCATTGTCCCCGAATCATCTCCTCTCTTTCTAAATTGTGGTCATCGTGAAGGATCCACGCTTCCAGACGACTTACCATCCTAGCTACATTGACCTTCTGTGGGAGTGAAAGTCCTTTGTATTGATTGTGTATTGTCCTCCATCGAAACATGAAACTTGGTATCTCCTGATGACCTGGCGCGCCTCGGCTATGTTCCTTCTACTTAGCATTCTTGCTCTGGTCGGAAGTGACGTTTCATACGCGCCATAAACGGAAATCTGCCGGGCGTAGAGTATTTTGTCGAAGTCTCTGTTTCTTGATACCGCTGGTGTCAGGAGTTACCTTTAGACAGTTGTGTGCAATGAATCCCGTTTCTGCAGTTGTGTGTCTCGCACATTCATGTTGAGTTCCATCGCAAGCCTATTCGGAACCCAGTGCGCTTAGGCACTGTGCATCAACGGCACTTCGACCAAATTTTAGACCACAAAAAGTATTTCTTGTCTATTGAATGAAATTCGTTTGGTAGATTCGGTGTCAAGAAACTAATATCATTTTCTGCGTGGCGAAGTGGTGCAGCTGTGATCATCGGCAATCTTTTACGAGAATGATTTAGCAGTGAGTGCCCGGTTCATTATTCGCTCTCGTGAAACTCCTGGTAGAGAGACATTAGCTGTGTGACTGGCGAATGCAAAATGGCCTGCGAGGCGGAGACCAAATCTGTGCCCACCAGCACTTACGACATGTATGGAGGTATGTACGTCGGCAAGCTTTCGGGGAACGGCAAAATTGACCGGTTTCAGGGATGGTCGCGGTTCAATGCGAATACATTGAGCGACACTCGTACCGGAAGCTTCTCCACTGGGAAGGAGGACAATTTTAACTACAAGAATCTTTACAACCTCGCGGAAGAGAATCTCAGCTTCCCGCAGAGTTCTGAAAGTCAGTTTGGGGGCATTTTGAAGAAAAGCCGAAGCGCTGTGAAGGGTGCTAGCTCCCGCCCTTCCAGATCCCCAATTCTGCACCCCGAGAACGTCAAGAGCAACTCCCAATCAGCTAAACCTGAACCATCAAAAGCTGTCCCGCGGAGTGACTCTTCTGAGGTCCCGAGGGCAGGGACGACAGAAGTTTCTAGCACTCCCCGCATTCGCCACGCTCGAAGTGTTTCCTTTGCTCCTACTCATGGCGGTTCGTCCGCTAAGCCGCCAAGCCCTCCAATGGCATCATCCCCTTCGAGTGCGCAATTTGCCCCCAAGAACCTACCCGCAGACACACCCCGACTGGCTCCAGAAGTCGCAGATGTGTCCGTGAGGCGTCACAGCACTGATGGTTCCAGGCTTCACAGGAGGGGGAGCTCCGACATGGCTGCTCTTCGAGGAGAGGCAGCGGATTTTTTCAGCTCCGACAGTGGCCCTAAATTGGACCGTGAGACAAGGCGATACTCACTGGGTGCCGAGTTCTCTAAGGATGGCTCGTCTGGGATGAAGACGAAAACAGCCTCCTGCACCGAGAATGGCAGCACCAGCTCTCGCGGTAGTTCCACTGCGGGAAGTCCCACGGTAGCTCGCACGGGCAGCTCGGAGAATTTGTTTACCACCGGAGGCTGTGCTTCCAGCAGCAGCCCTACGTCTAGCAACGCCTCCTATCACACGCGCAGCGCCAGCTGCAATGTGGGCAATTTGTTTGGCGCTATATCCAGCGGCTCATACACTGGCGGCGGTCTCAACACAGGTGTCATTTCACTTCCATAGCTTCTCAACTGGCTAACGGCAGACGCAGTTTAATACCTTAGTTCACAATTCTAACAATCGTTTAATATATTTTAAATGATTCACCCTGCAGGAGCATCAACGCCTCGGTTGTCCTCATCTAAGACAACGATCCCAGTTATGCCGCCATCTACGCTCAGTAGAAGTGGAAATATTATGTATGGAGGAGGTTCCTTGAATGGCAATGTAAGCAAAGGAGCTGCACGAGCGCAGTGCGACACTCCACGACTATCCTCTGATACACTGTCCGGTCCAAGAGGGAACATCCACGCAGCCGGTGAGGGTGTACACATCAAGAGGATGCTCTCCAGCGGCGACCCCGAGGAGGTTAAGCGAGCTGGAAACGACCAGTACAAGAAGGGCAATTTTCAAGAAGCGCTTACGTTGTACGATAGAGCTGTTCACCTGGCCCCGCACAGGGCCCCGTATCGTAGCAATCGCGCTGCCGCATTGACAGGCCTCGGGAAGCTTCCGGAGGCTGTCAGAGAGTGCGAGGAAGCAATCAAGCTTGACCCGACTTATTTCAGGGCTCATCAGCGACTGGCCTCTTTGATGTTGCGGCTGGGACGCATACAAGGGGCGAAGAAGCATGTGAAATTAGCAGGTCAGGGAAGCGATGCTGCTGAGCTGCAACGGATTGAGATGGTGGAGAAGCACGTGATGAAGTGCTTTGAGGCTAGGAAGGCGGCTGATTGGGATTCGGTTGTGAGGGAGAGTGACGCTGCCGTGGTTGCTGGAGCCGATTCTGCACCTCAGGTTTGTATACTATGATCTTTTGGGGACGGAACTTCTCGTCATTTTCACCAGAATGAAATTTCTTCGTGGCTTGTAGTGCTTACGCCTCTTGGTTTTGGTGCAGCTGTTTGCCTTAAAGGCAGAGGCATTTCTGAAGCAGCAGAAACACGAAGATGCAGATTCTGTTCTTTTAGCTGCTCAGAAGGTGGAGGATATGTTACGCAGAGTCACCAGCCTGCCAGCTGATACTACCACGCTCCTTGTGCAAGCTCAGATTGACATGGCTCTTGGCAGGTACGCCTCGATTTATTCATCCTTTTCCGTTTTACTCTTTCTAGTGGGTGATTCTCTGGCAAATACTAGACCATTCAAGCCCCTTGGTCTAACACGAAATCGCTTGTATGATTTTGAACAGATTCGAAGGAGCAGTAATTGCAGCAGAGAAGGCAGCGTACTACGACCCTAAGAACGCTGACGTAACGCCCATGTTGAGACAAGCTCGTGCTGTAGCGAATGCTCGAACCCTAGGCAATGATCTATACAAAGCAGGGAAGATACTCGAGGCCTCTGTCGCGTACAGCGAGGGGCTTCAATATAATCCCAGCAACGCTATCTTGTTATGCAATCGGGCGGCTTGCAGATTGAAGCTGGGCCATTATGAGAAGGCTGTTGAGGATTGCACGTCTGCATTAGAAGCCCAACCCAATTACTTAAAAGCGCTTCTTCGCCGTGCTAACTGCTATGTTAAGATGGAGAGGTGGGACAAAGCCGTGAAGGATTATGAAACGCTGAAGAAGGAAATGCCCGGGGATTTGGATATTGCGAAGACGTTGTATCAAGTACAAGTTGCTCACAAGAAGTCCAAAGGTGAACAGGTTATTGTGTCGCAACCTAGGGATGAAGTCGAAGACATCTCGAGCAGCGACAGACTTCGAGAGGCTATCTCACAACCAGGTAATAGACATGTCCTGTTTTTCAGTATATATCAAAATATCAGATATATTTGAACATATTTTGATATATACTGAAAGTTTGATACATATTTTTTCTTCGACTTTCTGGCTTCTGACCCGAAGTTTGTGTCGCATCAGGTGTTTCGGTAGTCCAGTTCAACACCAAGTGGAGTGATAAGTGTAGACAAATGGCAACCTACGTTGACCAGCTTTGCAAGTTGCATCCTTCAGTAAATTTCTTGAAGGTATGATCTGAATTGCACATTGAAAAACAATACTCTGACGCGGATTATCCCTCTCAACTGCATCACAGTTCACTCATCTCTATTTTGTCAATGTAAGTGGAAGCCTGAACCAGTGTCTTCCAAATTGTGCAGGTTGACGTTGAAGAGAATCCCTATCTCGCTAAGGCCGAGCAAGTCAGTTTTGTGCCCACATTCAAAATCTACAAAAATGGATTCAAGGTGAAAGATATCGTTGGACCGACGCATCAAGCGCTGGACACTGCCATCAGCCATTTCAGTCTATGATCATCAAAGATGCCCTCAGTCAATATTTCAGATCAGCAGTAGCAGCAAATAAAACTGGAGCAACTAAGGTATTATTGCCGCTCATCGATCAATCATCCCCAAAAACCTTGATTAACCTCACGTAAATAGGAATCAACCTATTCGTTGAGGGGTCAGCCACATATTTGTCTAGCAATTTAGCAACTGAGCTACTTCTTTCGTGGCCTACCCTCCCGCAATTTTTCTTGCAAGGTAGTTAACTTTTTCCCTGTTGGACACCCACCATTCTCAAGTTAGGGAGTGGTGGTGTAGTGCTGACGAAGCTAGGTAGGAGAAAATTGAGATATAACAGGCAAAAGTTTATATTTGCACCTTTTGCCTCAAGTGTGTATAGATGAGGTGTTGCTACCAGTGTGGCTCACTCTGTATCAAGAAAAAAACCGAAAGTTTTCTGCTTCCTCTGACCTTGGTCTCCAGACAGAGCATTCTCTAGGAGCTACTATCTTTTATCGCTCAACCTGTTGCTCTTGCAACACAGCTTCTCTCCCTTCTGAGGGAGGGCATTGTATATATACACACTTATGAATATACAAAAATAAAAAAAAATAAAAAAAAAAAAATTTCTCTGGGTGATTGGGTGCTCGTTGCAAGAAGAAACTTCTGCACTCTTTGACCTGAGCTACTCCCTGTCATGTTTCGCACTTTTCGAAAGTGCTGGTAGACGAAATTGCGTGTTATACTTGCATGTGCTGTAGCTCAATGGGACAACCGCTTGGAAGTCTGGAATGTTATGGGCATACTGCCAGTGGACATGTGCGTAGTTTCTGTCTCAACGTTAACGCTTATGGTCGTTGTTCAATGTAATTTTCTATCCCAAGCCCGAATCTACCTCGCAATGCTGCGGTAACGGCCTCATCATCAAACTTCTGCAACTGACCAACTTGTAATGCCAGTGCATATTCCAATGTTATAACCATGGTCAAAGTTGTTTCCCATGGCGATTGTTGATAAAGTCTACCTTCATTCCGAAATGCTGTTCGCGTGCGGTGAAATCGTGATCGGTGTCCTGTGAGTGTCGGTTGACGTTCCAGCCCAAGCGAACGTATCTCAAATTGGAATCTTCGGTTCCAACTACGTGCTCTTTCAAATTGCCGATTCTAATTATCATTCACCGTGTCTCCTAAACCTGGAGCCTCCTCTCAATCGGTGAGGACTTGACCTGTTCCATGGCAGACTCCTCCGCGCCAAGGCATTAGCCGCCATTACTTAAAATGAAATGCACCCATCCAAAAAACCCAAGGGAAGTCAGAAATGGTTGAGGTAGCTATGAAACGGTCTCTTCGGAGCCTATTTCAGTCCTTTCGAGTGCAAGCATTTGTAACCATGTGCTCTAGTGCTCTGGTTCATGATGCTGGTCGCAGAAGCAGCCACAGGTGAGCGGGCCTAGCAATGCATGGCAGCAGAGTACTTGCCGACCAAGTAATGTTAGGTGACTAACGTCATACACATACATACACATATTCATTCCCGCTAAAGCATGAGCAGTTGCGAAGCAACAGCATCAGCGGCATGAGCGCAATACCTTGTCGGATGCGAGACGAACAGGTGGACCGTGGGGACCTGTTCAGTGGACTGCATGCAGAGATGATGATGACCCCACCGGACCCGGCGGAGAATTCATTGCGGAGCGGCTGTACAAGTCGGAAGAAACACTAAACCTGGTCGTAGCATGATTGTGAGGGTCGTGCGGCACATTCCGGAAAGCGGGGCGCAAGAGAGAAAGGGAATCAGAATGCGCGGAGCGTGCGATTGTGTGAGTTGATGCTGCGATGCTGCGATCTGGTGCTGGTGCTGCGAGTTGCAGGTAACGAGACAAGCATACGCGACGATCTTCGCTTCGCTTTGGCCTTCCTTCCGCTTCTGATCGATCGGTGAGGGAGTGAGTGAGTGAGGGGAGTGGGGCTGGAGGGATGAATGAACAAAGAATGATAATGTGATGGATGGATGTATGGATGGATGAACTTTGGAGGATGAGAGTGGGTTGGCGGAATGAATCTTTGGTGGATCTTATGCTTTGATGATGTTTTTTTCCTCATAATTATTAATGCTTTTAGTTCACAAGTTCAGAAACTGAGGTTTTAATTTTATGAGGGAAGTTTTCCCAAATTTCCAAATTGTGATAATGTGTTTTCGTGTCTTATTTAAATATGATATTATGAAATCATGTGAAGAGATTCTTGGTGATAGAGCAATGGTGATTTGTTATTTATTTATTTATTTATTTAAATTAATTATGTAATTTTCTTTTTGTTTCACATCTTGACATATCATTTGAAGGATGTGATAATATTGATTTTTATTTTTTTATTTAAGAAATATATATGTATTATAGTTGAGTTGATTAAACAATTGCTTTTATTCTTTTATTTTAATATAATTTTTGTGTTAGATTTCTACATCTTTTATTTATAAAATTGTTAAATTGACTTAGGCATTTACAAGATCAAACCACCTATCTTAACAATCATTAAAAAAAATTCTTCACTATCAAATCTGCATTGGTTAAAAATCAATGAAAAAATGGATAAATGTGCAATCAATGATGAAGAGTACATTGATTTAGTAAATTCTTGTGTCAATTTAAAATTTTCTTTTATTTATTATATTTACAAAGATGATTTTATTTAATTTATTGAGATTAATTTCTATTTTAAGATGTGATATACATGCTTATAATATTCATTGATTGTAATTAATTTATAAAGGTATTATATATGTATCTATTAAAAAATTAATTATATTTTATAACTAACTTCATATTTTTCTAAAAGAATAAAAACATTATTGTAATTCATGACAAATATCAACTTTCAATTCTATTTAAAAGCTTTCTTTTCTTTTGTATCTTTAAAAATAATTTTTAATAATATTTTTATATCATTCTAAAATTATTTTATAATATTTTAATTTTTAAATCTAAAATTTGTAAATCTAAAATTTTAAAATAAAAACATTTTATTTATTTATTTTGTAATTTTTTAACAAACATATTCTTTTATTAAAGTTAAATAGCTACTTTTAATTAAAAGCTTTTATTTTATTTTATTTATTTTATTTAGATAGTATATAAATAGATTTAATAATTTTCTCCATTGAATATTATTTGATGAAAGAAAACTTAATTTATGCTATTTAAAAAAATTTCAATTATCTTTTATAAAATCAATCACTTTATTATTTTAAAAGAAATCCCTAAATGTATTTTTTATACTTAATTAAAAGCTTTTATTTGAACTTGATTTGATAATCTAAAATATAACTAACTAACTAAATAAATGAAATTAAAAAGCCAAAAGTTGGATTAAAGTATATTTTTTATTAATTTTTTATTTATATATATATTAAATTAATCTATTTTTAATTAATTATTTAAAATAATTTATTTATTTATTTAAAATATTTAAAAAAACATAAAATATTTATTTACATAACATATACTTGTTTTTCACACTTGCAATTTTTTTTCTTTTTTATATGTTTTAAAGAATTAGATATAGAATTTTAAGTGGATTTTATTAAATATATTCTATAAATTATTATTTATTAATTTCTAAAAATATAATAATAAATAATTTATAATTAAAATATTAATATATTATAATTTACTTAAATTAATGAATTAATTAGGTTTTTGAAGAAAAATTAGACAACTAATTGAGTCAAAATTATTATAGAATCCATAGGTTTCTAGCAAAATATTTTTATTACAAGGCAAATCCAGAAGACCTTTCAAGTTTTTTTGAACTATCTTAGACAAATAAACATACATCTAATTTGTCCTTGTGTTACTCAATACAAGATTTAATAGCCTTATTTGTCTTTTGTTTATTTATTTATTTTCTTATGAATTTTAGAATAATAATATATTTTATAAAGGATAATCTAAATTTTAGTAAACATACTTTTATTTTATTTTCATAATAAATTTGTTTGTTTTATTATTTTTAAATGCAGAAGGATAAACCCCCAAGTCCAGACAACATCATTTTAGAATTCTATGTTGTGTTTTGGAAGTTAATCAGGCAAGAATATTTAATCATGCTACAAGATAGTATATCACATGGATGCTTACTACCTGAGGTTATACAGAGGATGATTGCATTACTTTACAAAGGAAGAATCAAATGTAATCTAAGTAATTAGAAACCAATTACCTTCTTCAATAAAGAATATAAGATTTATGCAAAAGCCTTGCAATTAAGACTCCAACTTGTATTCACAAATATTATTAGTATAGAGTAGACTGCCTTCTTATCCATGAGATTTATATTAATCAATTTACTATTGACTCATGAAACCATGGCATGAGCAAAAAAATCATATCAATTTTTTATTTTAAAGCTTGACTTTTCAAATTCAAATGACATAATAAAATAGAACTTCATATTTCATACAATGGCAAGTATGGAGCTCCTTACTAAATTTATGTACATGATTAAATTACTGTTCATTGATGCTATGGCTTGTATAAAAATCAATGAATTAGATTCTTCATCTTTCACAAGAGTGAGAAAAAATCCACTTGCTCCTTACCTCCTCCTTATTATAGTTGAAGTACTTAATAAGATGGTTGTAAAGGAAGCAAAACTTGACTCAATTAGAAGAATTTAATTTCCAATAGATCATAGACAATAGATTTTGGCACAATATACAAATGACATATTTCTAATTCTATTAAGAGAAGAAGAAAATGTATAATATATCATTTATTTACTTAAGGCATTTTTCTTGGAATTGAATCTTATTATAAATTGGAATAAATCAAGTGGACATTGAAAAATCCTTCAAAAACTAAACTTTCTACCTTAGACAAATAAACTTGGTGTCATGTGGACTAAAGATGGTCATGTGAGCAAATTACTATGCATTCCATTTGGCTTTTTATTTATCTCAACAAATGTTGAGACCTTCTTGCAATAATAAATTAATAAAAAACTAATATATTAATATTCAAAAAGGCAATGCTATCAGAAGAAAGATGGTAGTGAACAATGTCTTATTCTCTACAATGTTCTTTTTCATGTCAATATAAAGAGAGACAAAGAAGAATATAACAAAGGTCAAAGCTCCCATAGAAAACTACCTTGTTAAGAAAACTATACAATGAGTTCAAACTAAAGTTGGGTGGCTATAGTGCTATTAATCCATGCATAAGGGTGGAGTTAATCTTATCAATCTAGCTGATGCAATAGTGGCATTGATGGTTAAATAGATAGTTAAAGCTTTTAATCCTAATAAATCCAATTTACATTTGATGTTGCATCACCAGCTTATCTTCTTCTAGTAATATTAAAAAAAAAATAGAAATTAAGTTTAGTTCTCTTTACTAATCCACAATATTATAGTAAAGAAAGATTTGTAGTAGAGAAAAGAATAGCAATGACATGGAAGACCCTCCTATCCA